CGAAATATTCGTCATTACTCAGCAACTATTAGGCAACACATGAATGGCATTTGGTTCTTTTCTATCAAAAACTGAATCATTTGAAAAAGGTGGGTGGTAATAGATATTTCCCACAAATATTGCTTGCTTCACAATAAACTGAATAGAATAGAAATAGTTCGGGTCGTGCCAAGTCCACACTACATGTGACAGATATTGGCAAGCGTAGTGTCAAATGCTTAAACAATTTTAGTGCGAGAAAGTCAATTAGCAACAAATCAGCAGTAAATAATGTAGTGCTTCATGTTCGAAATGCTTGCCAACAAATGAATACAAATGAATATATTTATTAATGTGTTACATAGTAGCGAGAAAATTTGAATTTTCTTGGTGCGATTCGTCTTCTTACAATAAGTTCTTTGTATTTTTTAGAGGGCTTCTATTAATACTTAAACTTATACTTGTATATAGACGTTTGAAATTGTTGCTGACAGATCGTTCCCCTTTTAACAATTGGTTTGTATTTTGTACATATACTTGTAGTCAAAAATATTGCAGTTTTCATAACAGCACCGATAAATACTATACTTAGTTTGCTTGAGACAGAAGCTTTGAAAAGAGAAATACGATGTCCATACTTTATTTATTATCGACTTATTACTCTAGTTATTGTAATGTACTTAATGATTACAAGATATTTAATTGTGGTTTTCGTTTCACTTTTACTGATGATTTCTATAAAAAGTCGATCAGACCTACAAACTTAATTATTTATTTAAACATTTGTAACATAGAATTAATCTTGAATCAAACTTAATAAATCACTAGTTCCTGAGCATTATCCATTAATTAAAGCAGTTATAAACAAACTTAAATGCTCTCATACTGATAAACTAATGTGCACAAATTTCCAATTCATACTCGACAAGTTGTTGTGGTAAGAGATGAGCAGCCATTTGGAAAAGGCTTAACTCAATTAAAAGAATCTTTATGCTGCTTTCTGTGCCAGTAGGGGGATATGTTTGAAATACTTGTATGTCCGTTCATAGTGACAAAATGATATTTCCTTTAATTCATTTAGCAATTTTCTTCACTGAGCGACAGATTTATAAGCACCTCTACACCAGATTCGATTCGAATGTTGACGGCCACTTAATAATTATTATGTATGCATTATTAAAAAAAAAAAAAAAAAACCGAAATTGATGTTTGTTTATGTGCTTCTCGATTGATGAGTAGACATACATATATACACACACACACAGTCAGCCAGATAGATGGACAGAGATAAAGATAGGAAGAGGCTCCGCTGCAGCAGAACTCATTTAGCTGAGCACAGGCCTCAGGGTCATGGCCCCAAATGGCAATCTGAAAGTTTTCAGCGGTCAACTGGCTGGCCTGGACGTCTGATGCATGGCTGCCTGGTGGCTGACTGCTTAAATAACTGAATGAGTGACTGGTAGACTGACTGGCTGACTGGTTGACATTCTGACAGGCAAGCTGACAGCCAAGCTGACAGCCAAGCTGACAACTGGTAGCTGCATTCGTTTGCAGCAGATTGCGACAACATTTGGCCAGATACTCAAACGGCCTGTCAAAACTTTGAACGAAAATGTTTGTCTAATTGAAAATCGAAATCGAAATCGGATGTTGAATGTGCACAGAGCACAGTGCACTACTGCTCAAGAATTTATAATCCGGCTGCTCATAATGCCCCGGACGCAGCAACAATAAACAATTACATACTTAACACATAACAAACAAACTTAAGCTTTGTTACACCGGTCGGGCTGGAGCAAACAGCTGGAGCGAGCCATCGAGGGGATCCCGGGGCCAAGTAGCGCCGGCTCTTTGGCAGCTGGCCAATGTAATGGCAACAATGCGAAACCCAATTCAATATTCAGATTGCGTTTCGGTCTGAGTGACAATAAATAATGGCATGGTTGTCAACACAAAGGGGGCGGGGCCGCCCTCAGTCCAATCGATATGCATGCAATAGTAAAATGAATGAGAAACATTTTCCGACAACTCGTCCCACAAAATTTGTAGCACGAGTTTGGTACAAAATGTTCGGTTTTGTTTTTTTCTTTTCTTTGGCCAGCATTTTGTTGCCGATGCTGATGCTGATGCCGATGCTGATGCTGATGCTGAGGCTAGTACTATTGGCGATCATGTGCGCTATTTGTTTGTGCTTTTTATAGTTTTGGAATTCCGTTTTTGATGGCAGTGCATTAACCTATAGCCCCAGTGGTGTACAACCCCCAACATGTTACACACACACACACACACCAACACATGTGTATGTGTGTCTGCAATGTTTTGCATATAAAAGAAAAATATTCTGGAATTCAACAATGGGCGGATGGAATTTTGTGGCATGGCATCGCAGTTGCTCGAAAAATGTTTTGGTAGCTTAGCAAGGAATGTGGAGTGTTAATGTGTCAGCGGGAACTATGTACACACTATGTATGGGAACTATTACCCAAGAACTAAATTAGTTGTTGTGGTAGGGGTGAGAGCTCGAAAGTTGGGTGATATTTAAGTGAATTGTACGAGTACGTTATTAGATATTTTTGTCATTTCATAGGCTTTTTTATTTCTTTATTTAGCTTAAGTTTTCTATTATATTGATTTTCTTTTTTCTTATTATATTTTAATGAATTGTTCGAGTACATTATTACATTTTTTTAAAATTTTCATATGCTTTTTTATTTCTTTAGTTTTATTTAGCTTAAGTTTTCTATTGTATTGATTTTCCTTTTTCTTTTTCTTTTTTACATCGACAGGGCTTAGAAATATATGAAAATTATTTATATAAAAAATAGAGCGAGTTAGATAACGATTCCATTCTTAGTCTAACAAATACATCTGCTTAATGTTTTGAAAACGTATTTCTACGGATGCCTAAAAGTACAACTTGAAAGATGAAGCTTTTCCCATTTCTGGAACATTTTTGCAGACAGAAAATGGCTGCAATTTCGCCGAATCGTGTTTCCCTTATATATCTGTTCATTTCAAATGTTTGCAATTTGGAAACATAAAGCAACGGAATAATGCACTGCATAGGTTTTTGAGTTTAAAGCAACGAAATTTGTAAAGCATTTATTGTAACGCATAAGAAGAATAATATGCTTGAATACATTTTAAGTCTTGATTGATAGAAATTTCTTCAGTTAGAAATGAAGTCTAAATGCATCAGTAATAGAAACCCCATTTTGGATTACATTTAGGCTATTTCTGTGGAGGAATTGGATTTCACATAAATCGACAAAATGTTTTAAGCAAATTCAAAAGTTTTTATATATTAGCAACGATACTATGAGTGTATTTCCATTAATTTGTATTCTTTAAGCTAAGATATTTATTTATTTATGTTAAAAGCAGTTAAAACTTATTTAAAAGGCAGCTGATATTGCTCTGACTAATGGACATGTAATATCGATGTCACAGCGAAAATCAAATTGGAAATAAATAGAAAACACTTCATTGGAAATGACATTCTTTAACTTTAATTCGAGGCAAGTTTGCTCGATAGTCCAGAAGACAATTTTTAAAATCATATAAAAATTGTGTGGAAAACTGAAACAGGTCTGTTCGAATTTTGTAGTAAATGAATTAAATGAAATGCAAATAAGATAAGGATAGGCAAACAATAAAAGAACAACTTTTTTATTTCCAAAGTGCCTGCACTCATTTCAAATACTTGCTTTTCAAATACTCTTAATGCACTGTAGTCTCACAGACACCCACACACACAGACACACACACACACTTAGACAGCCGCAGAGAATATTCGCTCTTTGCAGATCTTATATAGATCGTAAAACGCGCGCTGCGCCATCCAAAAGAAAATTCCATGAGTGTGTCGGAAAAGAGATCGAGGTTTGAGAGCAATTGAAGCGCAACTGAGTAATGTTTAGAGGCCAAAAATACCGAGTTGGATGGGAAAGCAAGAAAACTATTAGAAAAAAACCGACGATGAGAAAACAAAAAAGAGCAAGGTGAGCAAAATGGAAAGTAAAAGAAGCGATATAACAACAACAACAACAACAACAGCGGCAGCATCAGCAATAACAGCAACAACAACATCAACTAAAAGATGCTACGAATCCAACTGCCGAAATAGCCAAAACATTTACCGGACAGCCGTCAAAGCAAACAGACGGGAACGCAAACGCGCTCGGTTCGCAACGTTTTGGCCAAAACGACGACGCACGCACGCATCGGTTTGTGACGGACACACACACACACACACACACACACACACACACACTCACATGTAGACAGACTACATAGATACATGGCCATCCACATGCACAGCCACACATACACCCGCAACCATACGTAAGCAGCAGATTGCTTTGGAGCCGCGGGAATTATGCCAAACTTTTGCTGCAGTTCATCAAAACAACAACAACAACAACAACAACAAAAAGAGCAACAATTTTGCAATCGGGAGCGCATGCATCAAAAAATATATGCACAAAAGATAAAATGAAATAAAAAGCAATTAAATAAAATGTCCAAATATTTTTGCATAATACGTGTCTGCCGCAACTTTCATGGAGAATAAAATATTAATTAATTTAGCCATACAGCTGCTGCTATTCTGCGAGTGAATATAAATTGCAAAATTTAATTAAAAATCAAAATTAAAAAAGTTCTACCTACAAAGGCCATCAAAAAATCATTTTCAGTTAGTTTAGCATGCCATTTATCTAACTGTGTGCATATGTGTGTGTGTCTGGGCCCATGCGCGTTTTTTTTCTTTTAATGATATTCTGGAAAGAAGCTATTTGCTAAAACTTTGGAATACTCGTATTAAGCGGTTCGGTCCTTTTCTGATACCAATTGTTACCGTTTCGATCTCCTTTTCTTTTTTTGTTGTGCTTTTTTCTTGTGATGTGCTCTTGTGAATCCTTTAAGAGGATAATAAATACAGCAAATTAGTTCAACCGTTCCATCTAAGACTATGTGCCTGATATGGAAATGATAAAATATATGCCGGAGTATTTGAGCGTCATGGAGTCAGCGTCGACGGAGGAAGTCATCGACATGCGTAAGTTGGTTAGACTATGAGGAATCCAAAGGGATAAAGCAAACTCAAACATTATTAAATCTAATATCGTCTAACAACCTTAAATATGTACATATACATAATTCTACTACATCTGTGGAACCAATCAAATACGATTTTCAAAATGGAATGGCTCCGGACTGGTTGAAAGAGTGGTTAACGAAATGGAGGAAATTAAAAGCTATTTAAAATAATTCTAAAAATATTGTAAGGAATGGCTGTGAAGTTATAAAACTCCCATAATTAGTGTACTATACGGGATTAGAATAGAATTTGCAACAATTTCAATCAGATTTATATTTCTTCACAATTGACAAAGTGAAGGTCTGTAGCTTTTGTGTGGTTCTTAAATGAATAACGAAAATGATAAATGAAGTGCGGAGATAAAACCAGGTATTACATTTGTTGGCATGAGGATACATAAGCACGAAACTGAAATTGACTAATATAAATAAAAAATTCCAAGAAATACGGGAGTTTTGAAAAAATCATTAGGAGGTGGTGGGTGTGCATCAGAAAAAAAACACAAACTTGTTTTTTCTCAGACCCAAGAGAATCTGGGTACGAAGATTTCAGAAAGTAGTACGAATAACCAATCGTACTACTTTCTGAAATCTGTACAGACAGACATGGCTATAGCGACTTGTCAAGAATATACATATACTATATACTTAGAGGGTGGAATGTGTGTTAAAACATTAATTTGCCCATTTACTCTTTGGATAAAAATGGTTCATAAATGTGTGTAAGTCGGTTAGAGTCATTGGGAAGAAACAGGAACTCAATAAAAATCCAAATTAAAATCCATTTCTCATTATTTGTATTATTTAAATTAGAAACAAAGATTTCAAAAGGTGGAATTGATAAAAATCAATTCAATCATATATTCAAAAGAAAATATTGTTCTGTAATTATTTGCTTAGTTAATTTGTAGACTGAAATTGAAAGATCTATTTAGTCAGATCGAGCGCCATTGTCATCATATAATTTCCTAATATGACCATTGGAAACTCTGAAAACTCCAAGCCTAACTCTTATTAAAGGACTAGCCACGTTCCACTATTTTATTATGAATATATGGATATATTATATATATAATTTTTTTTTCCCAACAAGTTCATCTGTATATAGTGCCTAACAAAACTAGATTGATTGAAGCTTAAATACATTTTTTTTTTCGAATATTTGCAAAAAATATAAAATATGTAAAAAATAATCCCACAAATTGTCATTTCCGATAATTGCAATTATGAAATCTTTTGATGATATAATAAGTACATTTTGTTTGTTTTTTCAAAACTCATCTTCTCAGTTAGTTGATAAAGCTGCACATTTTAACTATTTCTACAGTGTTAATAAATACAAGTATATATTATATATAAACTGTTTTGAACTTCAAGTTATACTTTTGCTATCATTTTGAATGGGCTTGTCATAGTTCTGATGAGAAAGTACCATTTACAAGGAATTTTATTTTGAAACTCTATTTTGCATTTCTGCTAGATCTATGAATATACAAGTATATAGTTTCGAAAGGGTATATGTTGTGAATATGCGCGAATCTCTGGCGCAGTCCATTGCTTTGATAAGCAATGGATTCGCCTCGATTGCCACCCATTGCGAGCGCATGGACCTTGCCATTTACACTTAATGCCACCCATGGCGTTTAAATGGCTTCAAAAATAGCTGTACAATTCGCATTAAAATAGATTTTCACAGATAGAAATTGCCTAATACACACACACTTACACGCATTCACAGACAGAGACAGGCCCATGGAAATGTACGACGCGTGCAACACGTGCATGCGAAGAAACCATAGACACACATACTATAGAGATTGGATATTGAGAAAATGGGAGCCGAATTGTTTTGGTCATTAAAAGCGGCCCAAATGTGGCGCTAGATGTTATAATGCTAAAGATGCCATAATCCCTCGCATATTTCAACAATGTAGAACACGATTTTCAATAAAAAAACACGCCAATCATTAGAGTCGCGACTCTTGAGTACACTAAAAAATAAACTCTATGAAGTGCAAGAATTTTCTTAAGACATAATAATTATCAAGGAAATAAATTTAGGAAAAGTGATTTTTACATTTCCGTATTAGCTCAAATTTTAATTAAATTTTATAATAGATACAAGTTCCTGCATTAAGTGCGAGTGATTTTGATGAAACTTTAGAATACTGTTAGACATTAAGAATATTCGTAAGATGTTTAAAAAACAAATTTAGTTGATATCAAAATAAACAAAATAAATGTGTTCTACAAGTTATACAAAATAACTCATTTAAATAAACTTGTTCTACTACATTTATATTATATTTAATGCCAAAATTGGCTTGCTTTTGTGGTTCAAAAGTTCTCGATGTTCATACTGACGGATGGATAGACGCATATCGATCGATTGGCGTACCGATGATATTTTTATATACACGGGTTCTTCAGTCTTTTAGGTAAAATTCGAGCTGCCGTTCCCGAAGTGTGAAAAGGCTAAATGTTTGGAAAATATTCCTCATGTCGATCTTTCATTCTCTCATTCCAATAAATTTATTATTTTCGGAAATATGAGTTCTATATTTCCCATTTCGATTGATCGAAGGTGCCAATTGCCGTTTGATGTTACATTTTAATGGTTTGGTCATTGCACAAGGATGGGATCTGAATGGTTCCGATCTAATTCTGATTGTTTTGCCTTCGCCAGCTACTGTTGAACGGAAATGTAGAATATTCAGAATCTACTGATTGTTTATTGTTGTTTATATAGCGCGGCGTAAAAGAAACGCTTCTATACATATATCTATATGCGTGCATGTATTTATGGTACACATATACTTGTATATATGTAGTATGTGTGTGTGTGTGTGTTCATTTAAATGTCAGTTCATGCTAAATTACGCCCAATGGGATCGCATTCGATTCATTGATCGATTTTTGCAGTGCGCTGCACGTCAAATATGCATTTTATATACAAGTACATACATATGTACATATGTAGATATTTGCTTGTATGGGGGAGTTGATTAAGAATGTATAATTGTATGAATGGCTGCAATTGATATTTTGGCCGTTGCTTCTATTGCTTGGCAAAAAGGCCAAAGCCAAAAGCGAATCATGCCGAGATCTAAACAATGTCTGGAACATGTTTTTTTGTGCATACAATTTTGTTTAGATTTCCGTCCGTCTCTGATTTGTTGCGCCTCATCGGCCCCGTAGTCATCATCGCCATCATCATCACCACCATCATCATACTATATACGATATTTTGGCTACAGCCGCCCCACTCTTTTCACTATGGCATGGGCAAAACATTCCGATAATTGGCAGCTTTCTGCGATTTCTGGGTACCCCATTTACCTACATACGTACACTCATACATACATACATACATACATCCAATACATTTAGGTGTATGTACGTATGTGTGTTTGTTTGTGTTTAGAAGGTCTTCGGGTGGGCGCCGCCGCGCGCCCATATCATTAATATAAATATTTTGTTCTGGTCTTTTGTATCCAATTTTATGAGTTTTGTAAAATTTTTCCTTAGCGCTTTTCTTTTCTCTTTTCTTTTTGTTTTTTCCAAATTTTTTTTGTTTGGACATGAAATGACTTGTTTTTCAAGCTAAATAATAACAATAACCACAACAGCAATAACAATAGCGGCAATAACGAATTCAAACACACATTCTTGTGCGTCGTATGCGAAATTCAAAAACAAGAAAAACATTAAACAGATTTCGCAAAATATTATAATCTTTTTATTGCCAGAAAAAAAAAATGCATAGAAAATGTATAGAAGAATCGAGTTACCTTTTTAATTAGCTTGGGCTTTAGTTGTTAATACTTGTATAATGAAATACATTATTATAATACACAAATTATTGTATATGATATATCATTATCGGAAATAATATTCCAACTGAAAATGCAAATTTTCCAAGCATGTCAATCCAAGTTTTCACTAATGGAACCATAAAAGTTATCTTCTTTCATCTTTCACTAGAAAGCGTTTATTCCAATACTGAGAATTATTTCATAATTAAAGGTGGATCTTTTCTTTATACAAGTATGATGAAAATAATGTTTCCCTCTTCAATCAATACAGTTGTATTTAATCTGGTCCGCTTGACATATGGCTTTTACTTTCTCTCTTGGGAGACTTCTTATTATGTGTTGGCATCTTTTCGCAGCTTTAGTGCCTTTCTTCTATTCCCAAAATGTTCTGACTGTTCTGATTTGTTATTCACAGTTCATCTTTAATAACTTTTCGCCAAACAAAGTGTGATTTTCAATGCTTTTGCTGTTGGAGCCACAAATACAAACTATATTAAGAGGTTTTGAAGAGTAATACAAAAATTAACTAAGACAGAAATGGATATCGAAAAGAACGAACTTAATTCGAATGCGAACCGCATGTTTTATTCACTTCATGAGTAGTTAGCTACATAATATTTATAATTCCACAAAATTGGGCAAATTGTGTGTATGGAATGTTTTTTATTAAGTCATTAATAAAGCACAATGTTTTTATGGCTCAAACATGTGTTAAAGCTTGTGGAATGTTTTGATAACCGGCATACAAAACATGTACAAGTATGTGTGGATGTGTTTATTTGTGTAGCACGGATATGTTAAGTTTTGTTTTTTTAAATTCAAAAACAATGCCAGCACGCAAAGAATATATAGACAGAACAGAATCATTGGGAAGCATGCCTATAACTAAACCGGTATAAAGAAGAGGGATATTTTTGTAGGTGCAAAGAAAAAGTTAAAACTAAAATGAGCAAATCTTTTAGATTATTATTTTTAAAAAGCGTTAAGAAATTAAAAAGAGACGTGCTCCCTCTCTCTCTCTTTCCATATTTTTATAACAATATTTTACATGCCAATATTTTTCCATATTTTGTACCATTATATATTTTGTTTCCAGATTTTATGTGTTTGTTGCTCAGATTTATCTGTATCTATATTTCTTAATGATATAAGCAATAAGGATAACATTAAATACCAGCCAGCTGTATCGCTTCTAAAATTCCATGAATACAGGTCACATAATACGATGGAGCAACTAATAAATATGGGGGAAATGAAACTGTCTTTCCATTTATTTTGGATAACGAAAATATCATATGTTGGGTTTTATTATTATTGCACCTAGTTTCTAGGGAAAGATTTGAGACAGAACAATGAACATAGCTTAAATTGATATTTGATAGACTTTCATAGTATCCCATAATTATATTATAATTATATCTCGAACATGTATAGGCCCCTTGTATTTTTTATTAAAGTCCATTAACTATTACCTATACCCAAGCGGTAAAAGGCTATACTAGTTTTGTTCGAATATATGTATGTAACACGCAGAAGGAGGCGTGGCAGGTGACAAGCCATGTGCGTCTGTCCATCCGTCCGTCTGTATAAGTGAATGGATCTCAGAAGGTACAAGAGCTAGAATCCAGGTATCGACTTTAGAATTCCTTTCTTGTTTCATTATTTTCTCCTTTTAAATCAACCTTAAATTGGTGTATCAATGTTTATTGTTTATTGTTGTCTGTATCCCCAATAGTGTCGTACCGTCTGCTTCATCAAAACCTCCGTGGTTTTCACCAAGACTGGCAAACTTAAAAAATATTAAACCGCGATGCTTCAAAAAGTATAAGTAGTCGGGCTCAACTTTTCATTTTTCTAAATATATTTTTCTTACTCTTAGTTATTAATTTTATAACAATTACCTTGCCCAATGCAATTCGCGCAGGACCCTGAACAGTTCTATAATTTCGTTAACTCAAAACGTAAAACTTCTTCCCTTCCTTCAAGATTTTTTCTTGGTGATATTCAAGTCAGCAATTATTCTGAAACTACTGACTTTTTTGCCAATTTCTTTCAATCAACCTATTCCTCTATAGCTTTCGGTAATGTCTATTATCCTTAATGCATTCCATCTTCACACTCTAGTTACGCTCCCATTATTACTGATAGTTGTCTACTTTCCACTATCAAGTCTTTAAAATCCTCTTACTCTCCTGGGGTAGACAATATTCCTAGTTGTGTACTCTAGTATGGGAATCTTTAATAAAAAACATATCTTTATTATTTGAAGTTTTTAAAAACATTACCGGCTTAAGGTGATTTTTTCTGATGAAAAAAGTGGAACCTCGATGGTCCAAGCGGTTCAATGTTGAAAATTTACGCAAGTGGTTCTATAGTTATGCAACAGCAAAAAACCGGTTTTCCTCTATTTCTTAAAATTTTACACTACAAAATTATGCCAAATACCGTTATTTCTTCCTTATTTTGTCTTTAACACATTTTCGCAGAACATTGTTGTCCCCTACAGTCAAACGTTTTTAAGCAATCGCAATTTTTCAAGTGGTTCTATAGTTTTGCAACGCATCTTAGGACCAATTTGCTTGAATTTCCTTCCCTGGTAGATGATGCATTTATTCTAAAAATGCAAACCGATGTCATTTACACTGACTTTAGTAAAGCATTTGACTCTGGGAACCATGTCCTTCTGCTCTTTAAGCTTAGTCGCATATTGTGTTGCCGCTTTATTGTGTTGGATTTCGTCCTATTTAAAAAAACAGGACTCAACGAATTTTGCTTAGGTCGCATAGCTTGTCGGACTGGCTAATAAATTTTCCCGCAATGGGTCAGTGATTCTTCACCTTTAGCTCTTAATTATAATTTATCTTTTATTATTTAAGTATTTTAATTTCAATAGGTTTTTTTTTATTGCTATTTTTTCATCTCCACTTCTTTTTTGTTTAATACCGTATATGACTACTTTCTTTTCTGTGAATCGGGACATAGCTGGTCGTTTGGCAAAAAACAGTTCCACATCCGTCGGATTTGTTATTAAAGGCTTTTTTATTTCATTAGTTTCTCTATTGTATTGATTTTTGTTCGTTTTCTGTTTCTTTTACTGCATTGTTTGCCGATGAAATAAATAAATAAATAATTGAATACATAAATAAGTAAATAAATAAATAAATTTTTATTTATTATCTTTAAGCCCGTTTTTGCATCATCAGGTGTGCCTCAAGGTAGTCATCTTGGCCCTCTACTTTCTACATTATTTATTAATGACCCCACCTCTACCTTGTCACACTCTCATATATTTATGTATGCTGATGATGTGATACTTATTCTGTCTTACAAAAACCCTCTTCACGCTGATCTGAAATGCATGTAATCTTAGTGCTGAGCAAAACCACTTGCACTTCAATTGGTCTAAATGTAAGTTCATGACCTTTCATCGAACTTTGCCCCTTTTAGTCACACATACAATTGACAATGTGCCATTGCAGCGTATATCGACTGTTGAAGACCTTGGGGCTGTTTTCGATTCCAAATTGAACTTCAGTCATCATATCTCTAGCATGGTAAATAAAGACATGGGTGTACTTGGATTCATTAAACGATGGTCTGAGGAATTTACTGACCCTTATACTACTAAACTTTTGTACACTTCTCTAGTACGTTCTGTGCTTGAATATTGCTCTTTTGTCTGGTGTCCACAGTATGGAAAGCATCAGGAACGTATTGAATCTATTCAGAAGCAATTCTTGCTTTTTGCTTTACTGGTATCCTAATCCTCGCTTGCCATCATATTCTAGCAGACTGTTGCTTTTAAACCTGCCTTTATTAACAATTCGCAGGACTGTTCTTGGAGTAGTTTTTCTCCGCAAGCTGGTTATCGGTGAGGTAGAATCCTCTGCACTCTTAGGTTAACTTTTCAGTTGCTTGGTTCAACAACGAATTATTTACCATTCGTCCTGTTTAGATGCACAAGCCCAATCGTTTTCGGGTCCTTTGCTCAACTTATAATGATATTTCACATTAACTTTCAACAGAACACTCTCTCTATTCTAAAAAAAGTATCCTTTATAATTATCTCCGGGGAAATCTCTAACCACTTACTGCTGAGAGTCGGGGCACACCGGGTAGGAGATTTCCCTGTTTCTCTTTATTAATTATTACTTAATTAGCTGTTAAGTAAAATTATTTTTCCTCCTCTACTTACTATTTTTTTTAGATTGTTAGGTCAATAAATTCTCTGACCATGGGCCTATGGATGTATGCAGAATCAAAAATCTACATTATTATTAAAACAAAGGCGGCATTGGTTTTGTCCTCCAAACACTACATTTGTGTTTGCCATTTTTTTAATATTATTCAGTTCTAAATGCAATCTTGTAGAAGTTAGTCAGTAACAAGAAATTTTGGTGATTTTTATTTTATTTTGAAAAAATTAATTGTAAGAATTTTGTAGATATTGGTGCAATCGAAATTTGAAATGGGCAATAGCGTGACAAAAAAGGAGAGCCCGGACTCTACGGCCAACGGATATAGGAATTTTATACGTATTTATAGACAAAAGAATACTGAGCTGTCGGCCAGCGAGGCGGAGTTGGGAGCCGCTCGTGCCTGGGGTAATCTAACAGTGGCCCAGAAAATGCGTTACGCCAATTTACCGGGTGCCTCCAAAAGCGTATGGAGGGATGCGGAGCGAAGCCATGCCCTGCGCGATGTCCTCCAAAATGCAGCCCGAATCGCCCAGCCTCCCTTAAGAAGAAAAAGAAGAATCCCTGCAAAAAGGCGCACCGCATAGTGTGGAGGCAACAATGGAAGACTTGCTCCTACGTGTAAGCCAACAAAAGCCGACTTGTAAGCCGAAGTGCATGAGGCCAGGACCCATAATGAATAACGGATTCTTAAATTTTAGGCGAAAATTTCGTATGAAAAATTGTGGTCTAACGGCGCCGCAAACGCTTAAGAAAGGTGCAGGGGCATTTTGCAAGTTTCCCGAGTGAGAAAGCCCTTCGCCATCGCTAGTTAGTCCAAAAACCGATTAAGTCCCAGTAATATTCCCTGATGTCCAAGTTATATTCCCTGCTGTCCACAGTCGCCAATATTTAGAGTCTCATCCAAACATTATGGCTTTGTGTCCGTGCTCCATAATTTCATAATTGTGTCCACAAGTATCTAGTACAACAATTGCCAATATTTGTAAAAGCCCTCTTCGAAAATAAATAGCTATGAACAATATTCTATTAACAATATTTAATGAATTATGACCTCACATCGTGTTGCTTATTGGGAACAGCATTAGTGGAGACGACAGCGAGTCAAATAATAACGATAATGTGGAAATGCAATCAACTAGTGTCAGAATAAGTGCAGTATATGGTATTATGTTGTAGTATACTTGTAGTGTAGTGTAGTGTTCAAAAGAGCAGATATGTGTGTGTAGGGCTTCAGTTTAAACGAAAAGCTATTACGTCCTAAAGATAAAAGCAAAAAAAAAGTTCTATAGTTTTTCAACGATAACAGGTGGAACTATCCTGGTGTGCTAACGATGTGTACCGGGAATTTGTAACTGAATGACGTGCTCGTTTCGGTCTTCTGTTGGGGCGCTCTTCATCCCAACAGCTGCACCCGTCCATTTGTGATTTCGAACCGCTCGTCCTCTTTGAGCAAATATGTTTCACAGCTTAGTTTATGGATAACATCCTTTAGGATGCTGAGAGGATTCTTGTCTGCCATTCTGTCTTAAATCAGTGGGCTTCCTTGAGCCATTTCTCTCCACTCAGCGAAATGGTCGCTTTTCTCCTTCGGGCTCAGCGTCAGCTTCTGGAAGTCCTCTTAAGTTCGATTTAGGCAACTAGGTCTCATCGTCAGTCCCCTTCACCTATTGGGTCGTCTTATAAGTGAAATTGTCCTCTTTCTCCTTAAGGCTTACCTTCGGTAACGGCTGCACCAGAGTCTGGTAGTCTTCTTCATCCACTTCCAATGGGCTTAGACCCAATCGGCCTGCGTACTCCTTGGGCAAGCTCCAACCTCTTGCATGTACTAGTCCTCCCACCCACGTGAATTGGATCGGAAAAGCCGCCTTTACTTTTTATTACAAAACAGAAAACTTTCAAAAGCGCGCCATTTGTAATTTATACTGACATTTCCAAACAAATAAATTTCAACTGGCCACAATTTATAAAAATCCAAACATTTTCCAAATTATTTTTTGTGTTTTATTTTTAGATGTTTTCAGCACGAGTACACTAAAAATAATGAACTTATGCTGAACAACAAATGCTAGACCCTAAAAAACGGCACGACAGTTATTTCAAGGAGCACTCTGGTTTTTATCACGCCTACTAGATATGAAAACATTTGGGCCGTGTTAATATTTTCTGAACAAACACTTGATACAACAATAAGCTGTAAATAAAACTCATAAGTGTTTTAAATTTTATAGCTTCACTATAATTGTAATCGGAGAAATTTACAGAGCTAGGAATCCCCTAAGAAATCTCTTTGCATCGCACTTTTAAAGAGTAACCTTGAGAGGCTGTACATGATTTGTAAAAAACACTTGTTCTGCATAGGGATAAGACAAGAGTTTTTTTTTTGCCAAGTTTGGCTTAAAGTGTGCTAAATTGTTGCTATACTATATTGTCTCATAATAACATGGGATCTGCCACGCCTCCTTTCACGTCTAACATACATTTGGCGTTTGCTCTTTTCAAATCTCATAAAACACAAATGTCCTTCTGGCGCATGCTTGATAATTCGATTGCATATCTGGTGAAAGCTTCGTTATACTTTTCTGCCAATCACCATTATAATTATTGTTATAGCAATTGAAATACTTTCAATCTGAAAGTATTTTTGTAGGTGGAATGTGGGTGTGCAAGGACTTTACATTATCCGGTTGTGGCGGTGTGTTAATTTATGGTCATGCAGGTGGGGGAATGCTTGCAGTTTGTTAAGAGTGGAATACAATTTTGTTTCTATCTAAAGACAAATTAGAGCGGTACTTTCACTATAAAAGTGTTCAAACTTTATAATTCAATAAATTGAAAAAGAACAGAACTTTGAAAATTTGTAATGCAATAATGTTGAAGTCCGAGTACCAATCGTAAGTTGGAGAATTTAAAATTAATTTTTCATATCGGATGGTGTTTTTAATTATTCAGCTAACTGTTGTACTTGAATGCCTTGGCTAATATATATACATAGTACCTGAAAAAGTGCTCGAAAAAAGTGTCTGCTTTAAATACAAGTATGATGCTCGTCCATTTAAATCAAAATGCAAATTACGATGCCAAATTAATGATGCGAATGGTGTGCTGTCGAGCGCTGGAAATGGGAAATTTAATTAGCAATTAATGCCATTAACAGCTTCGATTTCGTGCATATAATTAATTAATTAAAAATGACAACTTGGAAAATAAATAAAGGTCAACGTTTCGTCATAAACAGTTAGTTTGCAGTAAATTGAATACAAAAAACACTCCCTGGCTAAATATATATTTCTATGGAAAGTGTGTAAAGTAACTAACTAAAGTGACTAATCAAAGTGACTAACTAAAGTAACTTACCAACTAAGTCCTAGTAACAAGAACTATTTAGTTCTAGAAGCAATGAGCTAGTAGCAACTAAGTAGTTCTTGTGGGTCTGGTAGTTGACGAGAAAATCTTCGACTGCCTAATTGCATTATTAGTTACTAGTAGTAGGTTTTTTCGCTTAGAAAAAGCAACTAACGGAGTTAGTAGAAAACTTTTTGGTGGAAAACTTTTTATAGGTAACAACAACAACAACAATCTCTAATCTCCGAGTTGAGTATACTTTTCTCAATATAATTTAAATAAATTCCCAGATACAAGCATACTTTTAATAGTTTTATTTCTTTTTCGATTATTTTGTTAGCCTTGTTTTCTTACTTGAATATAATTGTTTTTACCATGGACCGCAAATAATGATTATTTTGTTTTTTTTTTTTTTTTAACGAAAAAATCATACACTTATAGTAATTTTTGGAAAGCGAGGAATTTACTGACATCCTTTTTAAGGATTATCTATGTATTTTCACCATGATTTATAAATTTTAATTTGTATTCATTCGCTCACAATTTAATGATTTATTAATCAAATTAATAAAATTAAAAAATAATCATTATTTTGTAATTATTTTAATAACACTTATAATGATTACAGTCCCTGGTTTTTACTCCTTATACTTATTTTTGGAAGATTTAACTTATTTAACAGATTTTAACATTTTACTGTGCTCGTCTGCTATCGGCTCATTTAAAAGGGCCGTATTCTTATTGGACTCAATCTGTTGATCGTATGGACGAAGAACCAACCTTTAATAATGCTATCGCTCTTCAAGTGGACTGCATTTGACCGATTTGTGGCACATTCCCCTTTCCCCCCACCTTCAGTTGACCCACAGTTGCAGAACTGATGTTGAACTCTTTCAAGTGTCCTAAATATCTTGGTTAGATAACACAAATATAAGTTAACCCATCTACCTAAAGACAGATAGAAAATGTATTAATGAAATTACAGATATGTATGTCCATGATAAGACAGACGAATAGAAAGGCTTCAATTGCTTAACATATGGATGGATTGGGGAATTTAATAGTAGTAGTTGATAAAGTATCTTTTAATCGGATAAATAATTGGATAGTGAGATTGCTTATCATCTCGGTAAACAGGTAATTGACGGATAGCTGACGAAATATCTAGTTTTTAGCTGCGTATTTTTATGTTACTGCGAGGTCATGTGGCTTTAGAAAACACTGCCTGCTATAGGGAAAAAGATAGACAGATAGATAAATAAATAAATGGATAGTTAGATTGCTTATCATCGGGCTAAACAGGTAATGACACTTACCGCTACTTGATGAAGTAACTTGATAAAGATAGCTGTCGCACTAACTGTTTAATACTACGTAGCTACGTAGTTTTATGTTACTGCGAGGTCATGTGGCTTTAGAAAACACCAACCTGCTCGATAAACAATCGGGTGATGCATGAATGATGTTTTCCTTTATGGTTTTTGATAGCCAGACTAAATCTAAAATACCCTGGGAATATAAATAATAAAGGCAAAGCTAACTAATGCGTGGAGAATTGCAATTTGTGTATGTGAAGGACGATGCGAACCAAATATTACGTATACGTAAATGAAATTGTTGGATTTATTTTTTGCTTGATGCTGGCATTGACACGAACACACACACACACACGTACTCATAAAAATACACATACAGAGCGCAATAAATGGCCTTCGTTGTTGTTGTTGTTGATGCTGCTGTTGCTGTATTAGCGTAAGTGATAGATGGCCACACAATTGGTTTATTGTACAGGCCCCACACAACGGAAATTGTGCGTAAAAATTTAGCAATTTTTTTTTTATAGCTCGTGTGTTGGTTGGCATTGTTGTTGTTGCTGTCGCTTTAGTTATGCTGCACACACGATACGGAAAAAAATAAATAGTAAATAAACAAATAATAATACTAAATAAATAAAAAAAAAGTGATTCGACATGTCGCTGAAATGGCCATAAAATAAATTAAACAAGCAAATGATGAATCACACTAGGGTTGGGTCATAAATTTGCATCGCTGGTCCAACTCTCTCTCCCTCTCCCTCTCTCCCTCTCTCTCTCTCTCTCTCTCTGCCTTGTTGCAATCCCCCCACCCTCTTTCTCAACCATTTCACCGTTATGGGCTGTCAAGCGTCGTAAATTTTCTGTGCATAATTGCAGCGGCACGGGTCATAAAAAAGAACTCGAAGCACATCAAATATAGGATCGCTCCCCCATCGCCCCCATTGCCCCAATCGTCCCCATCAACCGTTCAACAACCATCCGCCGACCCCAACTCAATTGTTGAGCGTCGTGATTGTCGTCGTGTGCATTTGTTGTTGTTGTTGTTGCTTTTATTTGCTTTTTTCGGGCACTTCAAGACACGACAATATGCAACAAATAAACATGACAACCATAACAAAAAACAAATCGACGACTGCAAGACTGCGAGACGCGCTGCCATTTCACACTCTGGCTCTTGGCGCAATGCCAGGAATTGGCCGGCGTGTTGGAGGACGAGGACGAGGACTGGGTTGGGGTCGGGGCGGGGGCGGGGCACACAAGCAAAGTGCATTGCCAAACTGGTTGGCAAAGCGAGGAGAGTCAAGCGGGAATACCGGGCTACTGGTGACGACAATGAACGCCAGGCAACTATGTACTATATGTATGTACTGTATCTCCATGGAAGTGTCGTCGACTTCTGGGCATCACGAATAAAGCAAATGTGTGGGCAGCAAGTCGATTTTAATCAAAACCCTTACAGAGTCGCCAACTACAGGACTGAAGGCCTATATGTAATGAAGTTTTGTTGTCTTCAAATGTTATAGTTATGCAACAATAGTTATATAGAGCAATAACTAAATAAATGCTCATTTAATGAACTAAAAACATACTACGAATATATAGCATTCTCATGTTCTTGCCTATACTTTTAAACATAATTGAACAACTGAAACATGTTATTTCAAGCTTTTTTTACGCTGTGTCCTGATACATCTACGATGTAATATTCATTGCGAAGAATATTTAATCATCTGTAGGAAGTAAGGAGGCAACTGAATTAACAATAATTAGTCCGTAAATTTAATTTGTTCGAATATAAGTAGAAAACATAAGAGATGAAAGGATGGATAGGAGGATATAGGTACAGATAGTAACAAAGATCAGTTTGATATTCTAAGAGATATTAATAAATTATTTGAGGACAAATTTGTTGAGTGCACTTTATTACTCAAGAATTCTTCCAATGTCGCAAATAACATACACATTAATTCTTAGGTCGCTAAGACAAAAAAAAAAAAAAACATAAATAAAGAACGTGATGCGTTTTTTGATTGGCTTTAAAAACAAAACAATGAAAAAACGCATATTTATATTATTTCTCATTAACAACAATAAATCAGTAATTCATTTATCGATGCTAATGGATCGGAATAGAAATGCTGTTCTGGCAGGCAGATGGGGAATTAGCAATGTTTTCCCACAGAGAGCGTTAGCATCCCGTCCAAACCTAGTATTATAATGTTTTTTGGTTCGAGAGCGCGCAGCTGAAATAGTATCTATGCGAATTTTGAAGTCATTGAATTGATTTCAGTTCAGAAGAATCAACAGGAATACATTTATTTAAATTGTTTATCATGTGCAAGCCAAAGCAAGTGGAAAAACATAACAAAATGAACACAAAAAGGCAATATCATGCGAGTGTACACGAATTCGAACACGGGTGTGTTTGTATTTTGACACAATTTCAGTTTATTTGTGTTTGATACACACACACACACACACACATACATAATACACATACATATGTATGCTCGTATGAATAAATTGTTTATCATTTCGTTGTATTTCGCAAATATTTTGTCACACTATCGCCACTAACTGTGCGATGGTGTGTCACGAAATCATTTTTTATACGTTTATCATTGAGCATGTGTTTACATGAGTGCGAGGGCCAGTGAACAGAAACTATCAATATTATTGTGTGCGCGAGTAGTTTCCCATTTTCCCCATTTCCCATTTCGAATTCCACCTTTTTTATTATTATTCATCTATCATTGTTGCCTTGCTGACGGGCCTTCTCCTTTCACTTTCATTGCAGATCACAGTGCGGCGGCATTGCAAAGCACCGTCAATGTCATTACCATTATCAACAACAGCAACAACAACAACAACAGCAGCCACAATCGCAGAAGCAGTAACAATAACAACAATAATAATAACAATAACAGCAACTGTGTCAGCACAGATTTAACAACAGCTGCAACATCGTCAACGGCGTCGGCGTCGTCATCAGCTACTGGAACCGCAACCGCTGCAACAATAGCTGCAACAGTAACAACAACAACAACAACAGCAGCAACTACAGCAACAACAGCTGAGCAACATTTTCTGGCCATACCATTGCTGGAGCAGCGTCGCCATTCTCGCAGTCGCAGCCACAGCCGCTGCCACATCACGCCGCTGGCGCCCATCATTTGCATACAGAACGGTGCACATCCCGAGGACTTGTCGCAGCTTTCGCGCTCCGCTTCGTGCTTTGTCCGCTTTCGCAGGAGTTTTATCAAATGTGAGTAGCACCAAAATATTATCAGCAACAAATTATATAAAATGTTGCCTTCGTCATTGTCGCAAACGCAATACCCTATAGCCGGGCATCTTTCGAATTCCAACTCAACTTGCAAATGCACGAATCGATCATTTAAAAATGTTTAAATCAGGGATTGTTATAAGTGTTATGACAAACATTACAAAATAACAATTATTTAAAAATTTTTTTTATTCGCTAACAATTTAATGTTTAATTTTGAGTTTTACTTTACAACTTAACTAATAAACATTAATTTTGAGAAAAAATAAGACTTTTAAAGTAATGATCATTCATTCAGTTTTATTATTTTGATCAAAAATAAACCAGGTTGTTATTGTCCCTCGATAACATTTATATATGTATACACCTAATTCGGTAGATTGGTTCCAGAAAAAGTCGTGTAAAAAAAGACATTTATCATATGTTATTTTAAATCGTGCTAAATGGAAAAAATTTTAATTTTCAAACCGAGTTAAATCAAAACCGTGTTAAAACCGAATTAAGTGTATATCCTTAAACTGTAAGCCAAGACAAACCCCCATATGTAGTACAGTTTTGGCCTAAAACAAACAGCCTTAAACAATTTCTTTAGGCAAAATTACAGCTTGACTTTCATTTTTGATGAAAAAAAATCAAACGCAAAGAATAATCATAATTTCATGACTTTTATTTTTTTCTCTAAAATAAATAGAGTGAAACTCAAAATTAATCATTAAATTTTTGAGGGAATGAAAAAAACAATTAAATTTTTTATATCATGGTGAAAATACTTTAAGAAGAGGATATTAATAAATTACCCGCTTTCTCGAAGTTAAAAAAAAAAAACAAAATAATCATTATTTGCGGTGCCAAATAGAAACTTATTCGAAATAAAAATTGAAAAAGCATATTCAAATATTTGTAGCGGATTTGAGCACTAGTCTAGATTAGACGAAATGCTTATGTGGGCTGGGCAATACTATATAAACTTGTTTTGGTCAGATGGAAGGGTCAATGATAAATTAGGCTTATGGTTATGTAAACTAAGGTTAGAAAAAGTGATATCATCCAATTGGAGGTACGACTAAAAAGCGGCGTGTATGGATAGGTAAGACCCAAGGTCAGTTGGATGGGGTAAGAAGAGATAGAGCTGATAATTAAGCTATTGTTAAGTAATCATTCGTAAGGTTCGATAAAATATAGTTTAGTTGTTAACAGTGAAGTAAGGACAGAAAGAATTTTGCTAAGTTTGCGGGGCTCAGGTAAGGTTAGTCTAGGCTAGCCACGATTCGATTCGGTAGAGTAAGACTAAGAAGACTTACTTTTGATTCAACAAAGGTTACATGAAGGTTTGCAAGGTTACATGGAGTTTTACATAATATTGCTTAGCAAGAGAGGGTATTGAGAGCAGTATTGAACTTGTCCGCCCTCCATTACATTGAAATCCATTCCCTTTCATCGCATCCCACATTGTGTTTGTTGTTGTGATTGCTGTTATCTTGACCAACAACAACTTGCTTGCTGTGGCCGGTCAAGCAATTTCCATTTAACCCTTTCAGCGCATATTTTTATTATCATTTGTTGCTGCGTGCGCCCTGCAAGCAATTTTAATTGAATTGCAGCGATTTTTTCCATGCATCTTTGTCCCCTTGGCCCTGTGTCCCATTGGCCCATTCACAATGAACATTTACCCTCCCCCTTAACCCAACCCCAATCCTCCATCCTCCGTTCATCGCCAGCATTCACCGGCCATACATTGTAAATTGTTCTCTTTTTGTATCGTTCGCAGTTTTTGGCAAAATCATGGGCAGCAATAATCCCAGTGAAGCGGATCGATATGACTATTATGACTGTAAGTAATGCAAGTCATTTGCATTTGTTTTTCTGTTTTACTTTTTTTCCAACGGCAATCGCTGCATATGGCGCGATATTTAACTTTTGTTTTTTCTCCCACAAATGGTGGGTTTTCAAGTCGCTCTGGATATACTATATACTATAGAATGTACTTTTGTGCAACTTTTTGATTTGTGAGCAGAAGTCGTGCTGAAGTTTATGCATAAGTATTGAAAATGTTTGGCTTTTCAGAGCGTACTGTGATTGAAAAAGGGGAAATTATAAATTGGATAAAGCTTAATACAAATGGATGGATACATATTTTATTTCATCTTCAATCAATTTCGTTTTTGTGGCTATATGTATAATATATTTTTTCATATTTTAAAATGCGGCTGACAATTTTTTCATTTCTCATTTTTTTACTATAGTATGAGTGTATAGTATAAAGACAAATCTTATAATAGTTTCGCAAAAAATTCTTAGTGGCTTGGTTTTTTATGCTTAAAATTTTTTTTATGTCTTACGTTACTGACGTTCACTAATCGAGAAATGATTGTGAAAAGTTGCATACAATTCTCTTCCTTCTTCCTTTCAAAATTTGTGATATATTTGTTTGGAAAAAAACTTCATCTCCTCATGTGCAATCTCAAGGGAGAAAGATTTTAAAGTACTTAGTAAGTAGCAGCACTCTTCATCATATGATTTGACCGCCTCTACGCTGTGATACATTATTGATTTGATTTATTTAATAAGCAAAATTTTCTGAACAATTTTTTTTTTAGTTGTCCTCTTTTCCAATTAGTAGTTCCATATGTTTGTAAGACCTATCGATTTCAAATTTAAATGGCACAGCGAAAACCGATTTACATTTCAATAATGTTCAAATACATTGTCACAATTTGAGAAACAAAACCCCTACGGACACTGTAGGCCGCTTGTTTATTTTCATTATCGCTGTGAAAATAACAACAACATCGAGTTAAGCTAGTTTTCATTTTTATTTGAAACAAGCACATTATTTGATCTCCTATACACGTACATTTAGTTCATTTTTTGTAACAATGGTGAAACGCGAAGCTGTTGGAGTCGCCTTCTTCTTCCATGGCATCATCGGCGTATCGTTCTTTGTAGCTCAAGATAAGGACAGATGCTCACCGGCCCCGGTATTGGGTAGCTGCATATTCATGATCGCCATCGTGTTGTTGGCCATGGATATGGAGATATATTCGCATCGCTACATGCACTTGCCACTCTGGATACAGTTCGCAGTGGAGACCGTATCGACGCTGGCCCTATTAGAGTTCTGCACCCTCGTAGTATGGTGTGTCATGGAGCGTTTGCTTCACCACGCAGTGCGGCTGGCATTAGTGGCAATGGGGATGAGCATGGAGCTGTATCTGGCCTGGGAATGGTGGCTACTCGGCATCTCTACCACCGTTCTCGCCTGTAGTTTTCTTACCGTCATAAAGATGGCCATTGTTCCCGATTTCAGCATCAAAAACTTCATAAACCTTAAAAAGCCAACCGTGCAATTGAATTTGGATGCTTACGTCAATATGGTCAACATGAATCATCGGGAAAAACGTAAAAGGAAAAACTCCAAGTCGCCAACGCCGTCCAGGCATCGATAACGCGACTAACCAGGAGATCCAGAACAAAGGTTTGGACTGTTCAAATTTGTTGTTTTCGAGAAAGATCAAATTGTAGAGGTGCAAATAATTGTTTGGCAACTAAGAATTTTAAATTTGTGCATTATATAGTTTTCTTCGGTTCAAATATACGTATTAAGTTTAAGACTATTTGAAGCAGGGGCTTAAAAGTTATCGTTTGTTTTTGCTTTAAAATTGAGTGACCTATGATAGGAACAATAATATATTGTTCTCACACATTGATATTTCTAATATTTGCCTGCAAAATATTTGGAGTCTTAAAAGGCTAAAGACGTGAACGAAACAGGCATTTCATTTTATATAGCTTTGAATGAAACCATTTGAACTATGTATAACATTAATTATTGATATACGATTAACGATTTGGTCTGATCGCATCTTATTACTTTCATGCCAAATTCTTGCTCTCAAATGCGAACTAGTTGTATATATTACTAAACACAAAAACATAATTGTACACATGGGATCCACTTATAATATAGTCGTCTTCAGCTCCTCATCGTTGAAATGCTCTTTTAAAAACTTTCAAAAGTGTACCTTAATTAAGATCGAAATTAAGGAGGCAACTGAAAACTTTGAGCCAATAAAATTAAACTTGATCACATATAATAGATTGATGAAAAAGGAAACCAATTTAGTTTGTTTAAGTATTATGAATAGGATATATTAAAATTAATAATTTTCGCCTTTGGGAAATGTTCTTCATCAAATTTATGTTTCTATATCGACCTGCGATCGGTATCCAGAGTATGAGTTATTTTGATTCTGGATATGTAAGTATTTCAAATTAAATTTTTTTTTTTTTTTTTTTTTTTTTTTTGATTAACAGTTGATTTAAATTTGCAATCTGTCCTAACGGACAATCAGCAAATTATACTGGAGGAACATTGGCATTATGATTTTGTATTATGTGTGGCTTTGTGGAGAGATGGATTGAAAAGTTTAGATCAAATTAAAATTGATCAATAGAACTGCTTTGTTTAATACACGGGCAGCAAAGATTCTATGTTATGATTTAATTTTAATTTTCGTTGAAACTGAAAAGAAATCAAACCAAATCATACTTCCTTCGAAGAAGCAGTTCGTTAGATGTTTGAATTAATTTTATAATTCGAATAGACTTCTTGCTAGCTTGCTAGCAATTATCAATTGTAGTAATGAGAGTAAAGTGGACATAATTGGAGGGAGCAAATCACTGATGTAATGAACATTTTTGGAAACAGCTTGTGCCTTGTGGGCCACGTATTAGGCACACGCCATGTATGGCATGTTGTTCGAAAAATCAAGTATACGAAATGGTGGCACGTTCAGTGCGAGCGATGGCAATCATAAAGCAACTGCAGCCAAAAAACAAAGTGAGAGAGCGAAATCAAGCATAAAAAAGTTGATGATGATGATGACGATGATGATGAGCTCAAGAGTGAGGACGAAGCATAATTTTTTTTGCGCTGGGCGGTCGAAATGGTCAGTGGAACATTCGTTCGTACGCTCGTTCGTACGTTTGGTCAACTGCCACGAACAACATTAATCCATCACAAAATTTGAGAGTTTTTTTTTTTACTTTGGATGCGATGCGATTTGGTTTTTTGCTTGTATGTTTGTTATTGTCGTTGCGTTCGCTTCTTTGCTTCGTTGCTTTGTGTCTTTCATGCTTTACGCACTTCAGAAACTCGAAGCAAGTGGCTGTGAAAGCTATTGCCGACATACACTTCTATCTCCGCCCACCCCGCAACCCATCCACCACCCCCTACCCCACCGCCACTTTCCGCATTTTCCCTTTTGCGATATGAACAGCCGCTTTTCGGGCAGCAAAAGAAAATCAATAAGTTTTGCACAGGCACACACAACCGCACACACAATAGTACGCAGCAGGGACATACATACATGTCTATACGGTACTAACCGAACATCTGGGTAAGTGACAGAGATGGCGCCTGCTTGGTGCGACAGAGAGGGAGATGCTTAGAGATAGAAAGAGCAGGCAACATTAGGCATAAGTAGTATTTATGTTGGTATCTAAATATCTACACTCATCTGTCAAATATCATGTTTCCTGTTTACACTTCTCTACTTCTACTTCGGCAGCAGTTTCTGTTGTCCACTTCCTCACATTCAGCTGCAATGTCCAAGCTAGGGATGGCATCTCTGAAGCTCCAAAACTTTGCCATTGAAAGTAATGATAGATTGCTTCATGTCTTCAAAATAGTATGGTGTACTTCAATTGTTATAATATTCCTATTCCTATTGTCTATCAGCAAATTTTCTTACAGTCCAGGACTCCGCCATGGTTGTTTGCTATTTCTAAAAAAATACAGCACATGATCTCATCTTTTATGTGCCCCTTCGTTCTAGTGCTATTGCCCTAAGTTCTGGCAATAGTGAAGTGAAGTGAATAGTAAATTAAAAAATATCGCTATCAAGCGGATATTTAAAGAGAGTGTTTGGGCACATAAATGGTAATCTTTTTGGCTAAATTGTGTCACCATTGGGCGTTCACTTTTTTGAATTCCTTTTTTTTAATAATTGTGAGAGTATTTAAATTCTTCTTAAATGTGTTGTTGCTTATTCTAATTGCATTCAAAAAAAATTCTATATCATTTGCATTTCGAAAAATGTCAGTATTTATTCGGAGATTTCGGCTTAAATTACAAAGTTTTTGTAAACAACAAGCGATCATTTTTGTGCGCATATTTTTGCCAAATATTAGTACAAATATGTTTGACTTTTTGCAATTTGATTGGCAGTCTTTATTTTTATGATCACGCACGTCTCCTTCATCCTTTTCCATCTCGATTCCACACATTTGACTCTTAACCCCCTGCCCCCTCGGTGTGTTCATTTGTCTTGCTGCTGCCTGCTGCTGCTGCTGCTACTGCTACTGCTGCTTCGACTCTACTGGCGTTTTTGTTTGTATTTGGCGTGTTGAGTGGCGCGTTGGCACAGTGGCATTTTCTGTAGCTGCCACAGCCTTGTCGGCTGCTGCTACGTGCCCAGCTGCCAAATGCAAACAAGAGGCACAACCAAAAACAACTACAGCCTGAACAACAGCAACAGCAACAACAGCAACAACAACACCAACAACAGTGGCAGCAGCGATGAGTATAACAAACATAATACACGCTCTAACGACCACACGAATGAATAAAGCTAAAGTTTTTCGCTCGGCTTTGGCTTTTCAATAGGCGCCTGCCAACAACTCTGTGTGTGTGTGTGTGTGCTTGTGTGTGTATGTTAGAGTATGTGTTGTGCATCATTTACATTTGGTGTGCAAAATATTTCGATGAAATGTTAGGTTAGCTGCCAGCAAAAGTTGCTGAATAAATTTTATATCGACACTAAATAAGGTTGCTCTGGCTAGCACCACAGACTAACATCGTCACTTGTTGCTTTCGAGATGCTACGACTGGAATAATGACCAGAGTATTCCAGAAGGAGAATATGTCAAATACTTGGTGGAAACTAGAATAAAGAAGCTTATATACTACTCATAAATTGTGCTATTGTAAAATCTTTTAATCATTTTAATATTTCCTATGTAGGTCGATTTCTTAAGTAGAAAACTCCAGACAGCTGTTGTGGGCGAACGCGCCTCTCTATGCGCTTCTCATGTCACGCACTTAAGTGGTGTTGGCGTAAATGATGCGACCAACTGTTGGGAGTACAGAGATGCTGCCTCGAGCATGTTGACATATGATTTTTAATGTCTCTTACTTCCACTTAACGTGCACATCAGTGCCGATTTGGAGGGGGCGGGCGGTTGGCTTTTGGGCGATGTATTGAAGCGTGTTTGTTGTATTAGACGGCAATGCCTCGTGTGTTGCGTGTCAAGTGCAGAGCCTAATACAATCGATTTGATAATCCAGCACAACATGTTCAATTTTGGAAAATGGAAATGGGAACTTACACACACACAACCACACACTCACACATACATACATTAAAGCCTAAATCGTGTAGCATTTGCCTACAAATTGTCTGGCCTTTTATCGTCAACATTGTCGTTGTCTTTGGTAACGCATCACTCTCTCTCTCTCTCTCTCTCTCTCTCTCTCGCTTCCTGCCTTCCTCCTTCGCTCGCGCCATCTCGTTCTCTTGCTTGCTTCTGCCCACACTTGTTGGTTTTTAGCACGTGCGCCTCTTATTTAATTTACCCTCTTCAAATACCAAGAACAGCAGCAACAGCAGCCACAGCAATAACAAGTATAGCAACAGAATGCCTACTTTTAGGCGCCAGCAAAGAAAGGAACAGCCCAGCACATATGGCAGCATAAATTGCTGTTGTTGTTGCTGCTGCTTAGGAAAATGCCCGGGCACTGAGCTTCGCTACGTTCGCTTTGATTTGCTTTGCTTTGAACAGAGCGCGTGCAACAATTGGCGACTTGGCCAAGTTATAGAAAATTGCGAAAATGCCAAAAATGCTTGACAAAAAATTAATTTGACTTCAGACGCGCGCACACAAAGATGCCCATCCAACAACGAGCGCCTCAATTCAGATTCAGATTCTCTAATGCTGGACAAAAGATGCTTATTACACAGACAAACACACATACTTGTTGGATAAGCTTGGGGTAGAAGCGGCAGCCTAAGAGAAAAACATTGAGACTAAATAAAAACGAAATTTTTTAAAAATTCTATCATTTTTGTAAAGCTTTTTTAAATCAATCAAGCAATATATAGCAAATACGAAAGAATTGTTTAAAGCGACTTTTTAATTTTCAGCTTCGACTGTTTTATACTAGCATTAATAAAAAGATGTTATTTCTTCGATATTATTATTATTTTCTTAGTAATAAATTATCATTACTATTTACACACTCATAGCTATACCCTGTACTCAAAGGGTTAATGAGATTATATGTGATACACAGAGGGAAAAAGGGACGAGCCGAAATAACCATGTCCGTCTGTATGAACGTATGGATTTCGAAATGTAGTATAAGAGCTAAAATAACACAACTTGGATATGTTGAGCCCCCTTGACTCTAAAATTTCAGTTTTGGTCTTAAATATTCCTTGGAAGTGCAAGTATGGACTGACAAAAATCAATGAGAACTGCTAAAAGGAATAGGCTACAGAAATTTCGAGTCCGAAATTGTAATGCCAAGATGGAAATTGTAGTTAAATATTTTAATTAAATATTTTAATTGAATAAT